GGTCATCAGGGAAAGTCTCTCTTCCCTTTTCGGTTCCTTAAGGGCAGGGCTTTCTCACCCTTGCCCTTGACATAACAGCCTCCGAAATCCTCTTCCTTGTTTTACTTCAGACCAAGGCATTTAGTGAGAGCTCAATAAATATAGGTTCAACTGAACCGGATTCTAGTCAGGGGCCGCTCCCCTTCCAACCAGCCAGCCCATTCTATTTTAGAACATCTCTCATTGTTCCAGAGTGTCTCCTACCCAACAATGCCTGCTCTCCGTCACCACCGCTCGTGGTCGGCTACTGCGGTCTCCCCTCAGGGAGTGCCCCATTGCCACATCTATCACGTCGCACTGACGTTTATGTACTCCTCTGTTTCTACCCTCCTTGACTGTCCTGTGACCTAATTGTCTTGTTCACCTTTGACCTCCCCACACCATCTCCCAGGTACCATACGCCCATTTTACTAGGGACCTTCATAGCCATGACAGTACAACCCAAAGGATGCGATGCCTGTGTGTGGGCTGGCTCTGTCCTGCTCCCCCAGACTACAACTGTCAGGGAAACCCGTTTCCCCCAACCCAGCCTTGAGGCCAGCCCCGGGGGAACCAGGAGGAAACTCCTAGCTGCAGAGTTACTGGAAGCTTAGTCCCTGCCATCTTACAAAAGAAATCCCCTGTATTCACATCATACTGGACACTTCTCTGCATTTAATTCATAAACTATTTGTCCAGCTCAAACTTGCCCAGGGCTTTCCTCCAAGGCAGTCTTTGCTCCTGTTGCTTCTTCCCCAGGAATATATATGCCCTCAGCTTTGCATTTCAAAATTCTTCCCATCCTTCCAAGCTGGCCACTCTCTTGACACCTCCTCCAGGAAGCCTCTGATGCTGCAGCTCTGTCCCCATCTTTCCCACCTCTGTGCCTTCAGGCACTCCTCCTGGCATGCTGTCCTTTTTGGTCTGGGACTAACATGAGGCAATTTTAAGGAGGTGCTCACTCTTAAGAGTCGTGGGAGGGCACTGTGAGTGCTTCCTTATGTTTTACACCCTGGATTCTGTGCTTTCCTCATCCTAATCCCAAATCCTGGTCCTTCCAGCCTCCTGCCATTGCTCTGACAGCCTATTAAGTGTTTGCGGTGGTCAGGACCACATCCCATTCAGATCTGCATCCCTGGGGCTTAGCCTAGTGCTGGCATAGAGCCAAGCTGGAGAGATGCGTGAATGTGGGAATGGGTTCTCAGCCACCTTCCCAGACTTTTCCAGGCTCAGCCCTGGGATGCAGGATTACAGGCAGAGGGGCCAGCACGGGAAATGAACTATGATGGTGGTAATCACTGACCGTTTTTCACCCCCACTTAGAGCCACGCCTCCAAACTCTTTAAGTGAATTATCTCTTCTAGTCTTCACATTAACCCTTTAAGGAAGGTATTATTACTAGCCTCAATTATAGTTGAGAAAACCAAAGTGAAGAGGTTACTCACAGGGTTAGGGTCGCGTAGCTGGTAAGGAGCTGGGTTGGGATTTGAACCCAGGTCTGGCTGAGCGCAAGGTCCACACCCTATGTCTCACAATGCATCCTGTGACCATGGCACTGTAGGGATTGGACCTGCCCATTCATTTCTGCCCCATTCCCTCAACTAGCTGAGCCCCTGCCGGGCGTGCCGGGCAGCAGGTGAGCAGGCAGGCTGCCCCCACAGTGCCAGGCTTGCTGGAGGGCGACGCAGCCAGATTTCCTAGCTTGGCAGGAACAATGTGGCGTTTGGAATGCTGGATTTTGGTTCTGGGTTCTTGGACCCTGCGTGGACAGGACAACACACCAGGAAGCATGAGATTTATTCTGTGAATTACCACCTCTCAGCAGAGCCGAGGATATGACATTAGTTGCTTCATTCATTTCTTCAAAACTATCCCTCTTGTTTGCCAGGCTCTGGGTGTGGAGGTAAGAAAGACCCCACGGATATGAAGCCCCGTGGAGCAGACTTCTCACTTAGCACCACTGACATTACGTGCTGACAGTCCCTTGTGGTGAGGGCTGTGCTGTGCATCGCAGGATATTTAGCAGCATCCCTGTTCTCCATCTCCTAGATGCCAGTAGTGCCCCCTTCCCAGTTGTGACAGCCAAAAATGTCTATTAGCATTGCCGATGCCTCCTGAGGGCAGCGCTACAGGGTCTGTAACAATCTCTTTATCCTCCATCTTGAGGCTGACAGCCTGGCCTTGCGGAATTTTCCCTTTCCTGGGCCACAGAAGTGGCTCAGGTTTGTTTGTGTTAAGCATGATTCTGAGGATGTGGGTTCTGGTCCCTCTGACACTGCAGAAGGGCTCAGCCTGTGGCCACGGAGAAGAGGGACCTGCAGAGGCACCAACCCCGACACACTCTTGCTCCCCAGCACACCCTTCAGTCTTGGCCACCTGGACCCCGCCCCTTGGGGTCGGGGGGCTGGTGTCTGCGGTGACAAAGGCAGGTGCTTTCAGAATAGTTGGGGGTCTGATCAGAGACTCCCACAAAGGGAATGGTGACCCTCTTTGCTAACAGAATTGCGCGTCTACCAAATGCCAGGCACTGGCCACTCAGCTCTGCAAAAGCTCCTAAGGGCCAGTTGAGATGTTACTCCTGTTTTCAAATGTGGAAACTGAGGCTCAGAGGCGTCTAAGCGTTTGTCTTAAGTTCACACAGTTAGTGAGGTGGCATGTAAGAACCTTGCAGAAGTCCCACGACTTCTAGTTACCGCGGGAACCAGGAGTTGAACAGTCCCCTCCCTGTCTGCGTCAGCCCAGGCCCTGGCTCTCCCGCCCTGGGTCTACCCATCAGCTGCTGCAACACTCGGGGCCCTGGTGGGGGAACAGGGCCCCCAGCACGCCCAGGGATGAGGCTGTCACAGAAACTGGGGCAGAGGGACGGTCCGAGGAGGAGGAAGCAGAGGAGAGGGAGGAGGAAGAGAGAAAGGAGGAAGAGAAGACGTTGGGTGAGGAGGAGGAGGAGGCCCAGGCAGCCCCAGCCTCGCCCTGCCCCTTCCAGGTTCCAGGTGACTAACCTGAGGGCTGAGGACACCCCATCCCCTCCGCAGGGCCCAGCACGCCAGCTCTGAAGGGAGGGTGGGGCCTGACCGCATAGTTTCCAGGTTAACATCTGGTTTCCTTTAACCATCTCCTCCCCTCTCAGGTCCTCTCCGTCAAGGGCACTCTGTGTATGTGTTGGGGGGTGGGGCGCCGGGGGGGTGGGGGTGGGCGTGTATTTGTGTTTGTGTGTGTGTATGTGTGTGACTTTAGAGAAGTGGTTCGCAACCTGTTTGTTCCCCCAGGGCACATTTGGAAATGCCTGGAGACATTTTTGCTTGTCACAGCTGGGGGCGCTACTGGCTTCTAATGGGTAGAGGCCAGGGAGGCCGCTAAACATCCTATAGGGTGCAGGACCGCCCCCCAACATACAATATCAGCTCATGATGTCAACGGCGCCAAGGACGAGGAGCCTGGCTTAGAGGTTTGAGGAAGACCTCCATCTCCCCTCCCTGCTTCCTCAGCCCTCGCTTGAGCCCCCCACTCCACAGGGAGTGATGAAGCTCGAAGGGCAGGTGCAGGGTCCCGCCAGCCCCTTCCCTCCCTTCTGACTCCCACTACCCTATTTTTGCTTGGTTTTTGAGGTAGAGCCAAAAGAAGGAACCTGAATAGAACTCTCTGTCATGACCCTCACCCCCGCAGGCAGACCCCCCTAAGGTCTTTTAAATACACATGGATGCATTTGTCCCTTATACCAGGGTTTAGAATGGGGACGAGGGGACTCAAGAGTGGGGCTTTCTGAGTAGGGCAAGAAGACCTCAGACATGACGTCACTCCAGGTCCTGTGGGGAGATACCGTCCTCTCAAACCCCCAGGGCCACGGGCACATCCGCTAACCCAGCCTGTGCCTGGCATTCCACCGTTGGCACCTTACTCTTCGGTGTGCCCTGTTGAAATGCAAATTACGTTGGGTGAGGCAACTGGTTAAGCCTCCCCGGGCACCTGGCACTGTGGAATGTGCCTGAGCTCAGAGCCTGACTCTGCCCTTACAGGCCAGGCAACCTCCGGCAGGTCGCTGAACCTCTTTGAGCTCCAGTTGCCTCATCTGCAAAATGGGGATAATAAGGCTCTCTGTCTCACCGGCTTGCTGTGGGGGTGCAACAGGTTTTGGGGCCTGTAAGAGCGCCGTGCAAACAGTGACTACCACCAGCCTCGTCCGGCAGTTACTCCTTATCTGAACCTTGATGAGAGCATGCTTGCCTGCAGTGGGGGCAGAGGGGCCCCGAAGCCAGTGGATGGGGAGTCCAAGGGGGCCCCAGCTTCCTCATGAGGCTGTGTGGCATGGGGGCCTGGCGTTCAGGTTCCACCTCCACCACCCACTAGGCACCTGGCCTTTTAGTAACATAATTCTCTGTCCCTCCGTTTTCCCACCTGTGGAGTGGGGATAACAGGAGAACCTGTCTCACCCTGAGGATGCTCTGAGAGATTCTACGTAAAGTGCCTAGACCTCTGGAACACTCACTGAACTTCAGCTGTCACTATGACTTGTCACAAGTGTGCCTAGGAGATGGGGTAACGCCAAGTAACAGTCCAGGAAGCGTCTTGGAGAAGTGAAGGGGCAGAGGAACCAGAGGAGTTGGATGGTGGCCCCCTCCCTGCCCCCTCCCCCAGGAGACAATGCCCCACAGTAAGGGAATGAGTCGGGCAGTGGCACTGGCACCTAAGCCTTTTCTAAGAGGCCCCCAGCTCCCAGCCACACAGGTGGGCCCGGCTGGGGCCTTCATCCTCCTTCCTGCCAGTGAAACTTCTTGTGACCTTGGGCTGCCCTGATCTGGCCCTGTGATGTCATCCCACCTGGGACATCCTTGACCAGGGCCTTCCTTGGTGGTGAGATGGAACTTCTGGTGGCCAGGGGCTCCAGGGCTCCCGGGGTCTCTTGGGAGATACTGGGACTGCCAAAGAGGGGAGAACTTGCATGGGCGGGGGCATTGTGACACCTCTTTGATGACACAATTCCTTCTGTCTTCCTAAGGAGATAGATACAGGAGCAGGGCTGGGGGCTGGAGGCTGAAGTTTCAAGGCCTGAAAGGTCTGTTAACCTTGACACTGACCTACTCTGCAATTCCCTATTCTCACACTCTCCCAGGACCGGTGGGCAGTAGGGTGAGTGGAGAGAGGAGGAAATCATCCTCGTGATTCAGGCATCTCCAGAAGTCCTAAAGTTCCCCCAGGACCCCAACATGTCATGAGAAATCACTGGCAGGGAGGAAACGGCCAACCCTCCATCCTGTCTCTCTCTCCTTCTCTCTCTTTCTCTTTCTCTCTCTATCTGCCTTCCAAATTACAGAGATGATGTAAGGATGGATGGATGGATAAATGGATGGATGCATGGATGGACGCATGGATGGGTGGACAAACAGATGGAGGAGTGGAAGGGTGGATGCGCAGATGGATGAGTGTGGGTAGATAGATGGTGGATGGGTGGACCCTCCTGATCTGAGCCCTACTCACCTTTTTTTGCCCCATCTCTTGCTATCTTTTCTCTCACTCTGTGCAATAGCTAATTTCTTAAACATGCCCTCCTCTCTCCGCTCTGAGCCTCTGAATATGCTGCTCCCTCTCCTCGACCACTACAAACAGGGAATTGGGAGATGAAGGGATGGATGGATGGATAGGTGGGTAGACAGGTGGCTGGGTTGGGTAGCCGTGGGCGAGCGGATGGATAGATGGTGGGTGGTTGGAATTGAGGGCCCAAGAGTCAGACTCCTTGAGCTCGAATCCCGCCTCTTCCATTTTACTAGTTGTGTGAGCTTGGGCAAGTAATTGACCTCTCCGTACTTTTGTTTGCTCATCTGTGAAATGGGTGGACTAAAAGTCCCTACGTAATAAGGTTGGGCAAAGCACGCAGGACAGTGCCTGCACAGAGTAAGCACTCAATAAATATTAACTATTCTCATGCATGGGTGGGTAACCGGAGTGATCGGTGGGTGGCTGAATGGGCTGTCCTATCCCCATCTTCAAAAACCAGACCCCTCCCTCCTCCCTAGGGTCCCACCTCCCCAGCACCAGACTTCAGGAATGTGTCACCTCTCAGGAATGTGTCATAAATCCCACAGGTAGGAGTGACCCTGGCTTTGCCCTGGGGGGAGGAAAGGGGGAGGACCAGGGGGAGAGAGAGAGCACCAGCTGGCGACTTCCTGCCCTCCACCACGCTGGCTTGGGCTGGGCCCAGGGCTCGTTTCCTTCCTGGCGCTGTGTCAGCACTGACGGTCGGTCATGGGGCGGACTTTGGGGCTCAAAGGCAGATTGGGAATTGGGGTGCTGATGATGTGCCCGTGATCAGATCTCATACTGTGATGGCAGTGACCCCTAATTTCCAAGGAAGCTGGGAGGGACCAGGAGGGGAGGCTGGCAGGGAGGAGGGCAGAGGAGGAGAGGGAATCAGGACTGGCCCTGCCCTGCCAGAGCCTCTGATCAGGGATCTCCAAGGCTCTGGGGCGATGATATCTTGCTTGGGAGAGGGAGGGAAGGTGGGAACTTGGCATTCTGGGTGGAGTGGCCGGCATCTCTGGCTCTGGGGAAAGTGGCCTGGCTCCCAGCCCAAAGCCTGAGGCAGCTGACAGGCGGGAGCCCAGGAGGCCGGTGGGGGTTTGGGGCAGCAGGGTGCCGAGACTTAGCACACGTGACACTTTGCCTCAGCCAAAGGGGGTGAGGTGCTGGGCTGGTTGCCGGGAGACTGGGCGACCTGGGCAAGTCCTTTCCCTTCTCCGGGCTTCCATTTCCTTATACTTACAGTGAGGAGGCTGGGTCCCTCCATCTTATATATTTGAAGAAGAGGGAACTGAATCACATCCTGAGGGCTTCAGGCAGGGACTCCCAGACTGATCATAGGCCCAGGCCCTGCCAGGAGCGTCCCCAGCCCAGGCTGTGCCACCCTCACTGTGGGAACCTCAAGAGAGGGCAGAGGCTTGGGAGATCTCCTTTACAAAGGCCTGGCCAGTCAAGCCATATCTGACATTTCACCTATAGATCACATAGTGGTTAAGATCAGGGCCTGTGGACCCACTCTGCCTGGGATCAAGTCCCAGCTCTGCTTCTTCTCAGCTGTGTGACTTGCACAAGTTACTTAACCTCTCTGTGCCTGAATGCCTGACCTGCAAAGTGAGGATGATAATAGAAGTTACCTGGAAGCCTTGTTGTGAGGATTGTGTGAGCATAGAGCAGTGCCTGCTGCATGGTTGGTGCCATGAGTTATATTGTTGTTATTATTTCTAAACTCCAGACAACACTGATTCAGTCCTGCCTTCAGGAAGCGCCGCTTTCTTTGACTTCTCTGGCACATTCCAGGCGTGACCTCATTTTATTCATCATCAATAAGGCGAGGACTGTTATCTGTCCCTCACGGCGCTCAGTGGGTGTTTGGGAAGGATGCGGGGAGCTACTGAGACTCAGGGCTGGCTTGGAGCACAGGAAGATCCACCAATCTCCCACACACCTTTTGCCACACACACAGCCTCCGCCCCTCCTGCCCTCTCTGCTCTTGAGGTGCAGGCAAATGGTTTTAAGTGTCCCGCTACCACCTTGCTTGAAGTAGGCCTGGTTATTTAGACATTCTCTCCTCCCCTCCTTATCTGCTGTGTGATTTGGACAAATTACTTAACCTCTCTGGTCCTTACTTGTTTTTCCTTTGTTGAACCTCAAGTACAGAAGGCTGAGTTATGCATGCACCTCATTCCATGGTGCATTATCATCACTCATCCATGAAGGCCTGCTCTCTTGTATTAATTTTCCCCCTTTATCTCCAGTCTCCAACCACATTCTCCACCCACCCCAGCCAAAGGCAAGCACTCTGTGTATCTTGGATACTCATTATTGAGAAGATACTCAAGCTTAATGAGTATCATCTTGTTCATATGTGTTCTTGCAAAATAGATACACATTGTTGTTTAGTGTGCAGGTAGTTTGCATTTACATGAGTGGCATTGTGTGTTTTGGAGCTCATTGTGTTGTTTACGCTGATCGCTCCCTGCTGTTAAGACCCGTCTGGGTCGCTCTACAAGCATCTAGTTTCTTGCTTCCAGTTGTCGTGTAGTCCATGGAGTCATCCACCACATTTTACGTCTCTACTCCCCCCAGGCTGGACCCAGCTCCAGCACGCCCCATCTCCACCAACAACATGCAGTGACATCACATCCGTGTCCCCCTATGGACCTGGGTGAAGGTATCTTTGGGGCACATTCCTAAGAGCGGAATTGATTGGTCATAGAGTCTGAATAAACATCATTTGAAGTCTTCTTTTCTCCAACCATAGAATGGGTGTATTGCTCCCTCCCTTGTGGGGCTGACTTGACAGGAGAGGGTTAATGCGTGTAATCCACTCGGCCGCTTGCCTGACACAGAAGAGATGCTCAGTGAATGGCCGACGTGGCTGCTGTCCCCCCCAGGTCTCAGGGAGAGAGAGAGAAGCCAGACCCAGGAGGATTGCACAGGAATGCACCCAGGGCTCGAAGTCCCAGTTCAAGGGTTGGTCTCCAGAACACGGGAGAAGTGTGTGGGGCTGTGCTGATCCCCAGAGGGTGAGGCCTGCTCTTGAGCGTGAGACCCTCCCCAGCCCAGCTCAGGGCCTGGTGCAGAGGAGATGGCTGCGTCCAGGAAAGGGCTCGCTGCATCCCATGTCTCACCTCTCTCCCCAGAGCCGGAAGCAGCATCCTCCTACCAGGAGGTGCCGGACAGCCTCGCCTGCTGTTCTGCCTCTGCTCTGCCAGCCAATGAGCATTTTAACCAGATGGGAAACCACACTTGAGTATTGGATCCCACCAACCCATTTTATAGATGGAGAGACTGAGGCTCAGGAAGTCTACCATGGTCTCACTGGAGGTAAATGGCACAAGCGGAATCCACAGCTCCAGGTGCTCCCTCCAGTGCTCTTTAAAAAAAGAAAATGCAGGGGCCGACCTGGTGGTGTAGCGGTTAGGTTGGCATGCTCCACCCTGGCAGATCCTGGGTGAGGACATACACACTGCTGTCAAGCCATGCTGTGGCAGCCATCCCACATATAAAGTGGGAAGATGGGCACGGATGTTAGCTCAGGGCCAGTCTTCCTCAGCAAAAAGAGGAGGATTGGCAGCAGATGTTAGCTCAGGGCTAATCTTCCTCAAAAAAAAAAAGAAAGAAAATGCATTCCATGTGAAATTATGTTCTTTATTATTTGTAGAGTTTTAAGTTAAAGCAAATGACATGCCAACAGAGCACATCACTAAAAAGTAAAAGCCCCACATGCAGTCCTGGCATTCCGAATGAACCATCTCCATGGTTCTGGTCCCTTCCAATCCCTGGCCATTCACAAACCCACTTTATATATTTATAGTCACAATCTACATAGAATTTCGTTTTTTGCTTTTTGTACTTAATAATCGTTGTTTTCCTTTCACACACACACACACACACACACACACACACACACCTTGTTTCAGACTGTGGGATGTGTCTTACAATGGGATGTTTTTGCCTGGCCTTCGAGGTGACCTTGTAGGCACCTGCCCCGCCCCGTCTCCTGGCACTGGTGGAATTTTCCTTCCTGAGGTTCTTTGTTGAATGGTCACTGCTCTCTTGCAGCCTCTCAGGGCCTCTGTTCTGTCTGCTATTTTCTGTTTAGCATCTTCACACCCAAAGTCAGGGTAGGGAAGGGGGCGGGAGCACGCAGGCACTGAATGCCACCATGAGTCAGACTCTCTGCAGGTCCTTAGCCCACTAACAACCTCACATTAATAGCCCCTGATTTACAGATGAACAAACTGAGGCTCAGAGAGTCAGTTACTCGGCCAAGGTCACACCCTTGCTAAGCAGCAGAATCAGGATTCAAACCTGTTCCCCAGGAAGGATCTTTCCCACTAGGTCAAGCTCCCATCCACAGACCCCATGGCTACAGAGGAAAATGAGTCTGCCCAGCAGCCCCGAACACACCACTCGCCGCCCAGGGCTGGACCTTGGATCCCCACATCCTCAGGCACCAGGAAATGCCTTCCTCTGAGCCCCCTCTCAGGATGGAGTCCACACTAGCTAGGCTTCCTCTTAGCCCAACCACATCTCCCGGCGCCCACCCAGCCCAAAGGAGCATCGAGGGAGGGGCGATTGAACGCCACCCTCCCTTGCAGGGGCCTCGCGAGCTAGTCTGGCATAAGGTGTCTCAGGCCTGGAACAAGAGGCTGGACAAGATGATGGGCCGCTCAGTATCTTTTGAGAGTTGGGATGACGGGAGTTCTGACTTTTGTCCCCTGAGAGCAAGCCGCAGAGACCTGGGACTCTCAGGACGTCTCAGCCTGCCCTTTCCCGACTCAGGGTGCACCCTCCCAGCCGGGAGCACTTGGCTTTGTTGGAGGAAAGACTACACACTTGACAATGAGCCTCTGGAGAGGCTGCAACTTCCTGGCCCCAAACACCTCTACCCTATTCCCAGACTGGCCAGTGAAGTTGCTCCTGGAGGTTACTCAGTGTTGCCGAGCCAGATTTAATTACAGGATTGGGCTTTTGGCTGTTTCGAGGGGAGCCTGTTATTTGGCTGTTTCTTTTACTGCGGGAGCAGGTGCGAGGCTTTGTTATTAGACGGGGTGGGGGCTGAGCAGCCACAGGACAGAGTGCCGAGCTGGACAGAGAATTAGGCCCCAGTGCCGCCCCAGGGAACTCAGCCTCAAAAGCTGACAGGGTGAAACTGAGGGGGCGGGGACACTGCTCACCACTGAAGCCAGGCCTTCCAGAGACTCCCCACCCGCCACCACATGGGAATGAAATGACATCCAGGCCCTACAGCCTCAAGCTGGTGTTCATGCGTCACCCTGGTCCTCTCTTTCCTCCATCCCCAACCAAAACTAACCCAAAAGGCATGGGACCAGGAGCGGGGGACATGAACACACACTTAAGGAACGCCCCCTGTGTGCCAGGCCCTGTGCCGGGCACTTGACATCTGTTATCTCTTTAACCTTCGTAACGACCCTAGGAGAGGGTACTGTTACTTCCATGCTACAGACAGGAACGTGGCTCAGAGTATTTTTTTTACTCCCTCTCCATGCAAGCTGTTTACCAAGCCCTTCCTTTCTTAAGAAATGTCACACCAACAATTTTGCTGTTTCTCCCACCAGCACGCAAGTCGTGCCCCCATCCTCTCCTGCTTGTACCAGTTCACCAACTGATTAACCAATTAACCGACCAATTAAGCCGCTTCCCTGAGCCCCTGAGCCTACACATTCTCCTTCCCATCCGTCCTTCATCCAGCTGCTAGAGGAACATCCTTGAAACGCAGCTGTGAGCAGTCACCCTGGCCTGCTCAATCACAGTGCCTACTCCTGGCAGCCGCCGACCCCAGGTCACAGCTTCTCAAACCTTCACACGCTCCTGAATTACCTGGGCATCTTGTTAAAACGCAAATCTTTCGCTGGGCATCTTAATCCACAGCACACTGAATTCTCCAAATGACCTTCGATTAACAGCCTGTTTTACAGATGAACAAACTGAGGCCCAGAGAGGTTGCCCAATGTCTGGGATGGGACCAAAGATTCTACATTTCTAGTAAGATCCCGGGTGACACAGATGCCGCTGGTTCATAGACCACATTTATAGACTAAACTCGCCTGCCTAGTTATTTTTTTCTTTAATTTTTAAATAGCAAATACATTTACTGGTTTGAAAGTTTAGAAACATGGAACAGCTTCCGTGACAATTCTCCGTCGCAGTCCTCTCCCCACGTGCCCGGTTCCCCCCTCCTCCACCTCCGGTAAACAGTTTTATTAGTTTCTACATATCTTCCCAAGGTCCCTCTGCCAATATAAGCAAGTAAGATCATACGTCTCCTGCCCCAAATGGTAGGATACTACACACACCCTTTTGTCAACAGTTTATCAGTTTATCTTGGAGATAACTGGACACAGTCGGCTGACTCATTCATTTTTAGAGTTGCATTATCATTCCATTGTGTGGATGTGCCATAATTTATCGACCCAGTCATCTCCAGGTGAGCAATTTGGGTTTTTTCCGATCTCACCAGCTGGCCTTTTTAAGGCCCTCATACCCTGGCCAGCCTGGCTGTGGCCCTCGTCCAACCCCCCAATTCCCAGCTCCACCATCCTGAGCCCCTGCAGAGGCTCCGCACCTCCTGCCTGCCCTCCTGGATGCTCCAGTCCACTCTGATTGCTACTCCTCTCAATCTCCATCCCACTGATAGTCTCCTCCTCCTCACTTACCTCTCCACTCTCCATCGCTCCATGTGTCTCTTTGTCTCCCCAAATAGTCTGGATTTCTCTGGATCCTTCACAGCCCAGAGCTGGGCACACAGCAGTTCTCAAGAACGTTAGCTCTGCAGTAGAAGTTGCACATGAATGGAGCCGCTCAATGGTGGCTCTGCTGGGGCTGGTTCTGGGCGTGAGAGCCCAGGAGCTACCCAAGGTGGGAGGGACCTCATGCCTCAGAGGTCTCCGAGAAGGAAATCTCTAGCTAGGGCCTGAAGGTGTAGAACACTTGTGGGGGTTGTGATGATGGCCAGGGTGTGACGGAGGAACTGGGGTCCCCTTGTGCCCTTCCTGTGTGGACAGTGGGAGGTACCATGATGTGGAGACAGGTGGATAGAGGGATGGCTGCTATGGGTATGCGTGCATGCCCCAGCGTTGGCTCCTTCTCTTCTCTATTAACATCCTTGTCATCCTTCGTGGGCCAGCTCAAGTCTCAACTCTTCCAAGAAGCCTTCCTGGACTTTTCTAGCCCACGCCCACCTCTCCTCCTCTGAATTCCTGCTGTATGTATTAGTGACAGCAATCGCTGTTCTGGACTTAGTCACCATGGGCTGCCACCTTGACTCATATAAACCTTATCTCCCAGATGGGACCCCAAGATCTTCTGTGGTTGAAATAAGACTTCTATAATTCTCTTGTATCCCACATACCCCAAACCCTCAGCACAGCACGGAGCAATTGGGAGAACCTCCACAAATACTCCTTGAATGAACAGGAACTGCTTCCAGGTGCCATGGTAGAGTGTGGGGAGGAACAGGGTTGCCCACAGGCGTGTCTCCACCTGTGGTCATTTGGGAAACACAAGTGTTTTGAAAGATGCTCCTGTCCCTCCCAATCTGTTCCTTAGTCCCTCCCCTCCTGGTGGGAAAATAATGACTTCACAGCCACAAGCCCTGAAGGCCTGATTCATCCTGTCCCTTGACACTGGAGCAAGTAAAGGGGACTTTTCAAAAATGTCAATGTCATGAAAAACAAACAAAAGCAAGGGACTGTACTAAATTATGACATTAAAGGGATTTGACAAGCAAATGCCATGTGTGAAGCTTGACTGGACTATGGATTGGAAAAAAATTAAAAACTAAAAAGATGTTTTGGGGAATAATTGGGAAATTTTTAATATGGAGCATATTTTAGATGATAGTAGTGTATCGATGTCAAATTTCTTATGTGAAAGGAATAATAGGAAAATGTTCTTATTCTCAGGCAGTGGATACTGAGGTATTGGTGGGGGTGGGGACACGTGCCATGATATCCACAACTTTCAACCATCAGCAAAATGGAAATGAAAAAAAAGTATGTGTGTGTGTGTGTGTGTGTGGAGACAGAGAGCACGTGCAAATGTGGCAACATGTTAACAGTTGGTGAATCCAGGAGAAAGGGATATAGGCAGTCATTTTCCTAGTCTTTCAAATTTTTCAAAATGAAAAGTCAAGGGGGAAATGCCTTTGATACAGAGAACGATACAGCTCCAACTGTAAGCGAGAAAGAGAAGGGGAAATGCCTCAGCAGTGGGTGCTGTTTCGGAGGAGCTCAGGGGAAACCAGGCCACACTATCTGTGACTGGATCACTGCCACCCCCCCCCCCCCCCCCCCGCTGTCCCCCAACCCCGCTGCTGCCCAGAAAGCATCAACTCTAACCCCTTGGCCCTGCACTCGCCCACCTCAGCATCTTTCACACAGTCTCCCGGGTCCTCATCCGACAGGACCTTCCACAGTGGACAGCCACCTCTTGCCTTAGCTAGGACGGTCCTGGACACACCTTAAAGGTCCACACAGCTTGTCTCCCTGGAGAGGGAACTGAACCCTAAGTGGGTTCGACTCACCTTGAGTTTTAAAAAATTATATTAAATTATAAATTACATAAAATTATGTAATTTTATTAAATTATAAAAATTATGTTCACTTAACTTCACAGAAAAAAAAAGAATTTGATGCACAAAAAATGCCAAGATTTAGTCATTCTACATTCTCTTTGGAGTTCTGTCACTGAGGATATTTTCCACCGCTGTCATTCTCAGGGGCGTTTCCTTACAGCCACTGAGGGCTCACGGCCCGCATCTTTGACCCCTTCAACGTGCCAGCCATCTCCCTGGTGCTGGCCACAAGAGTCGTTTCCGAAGTCCCCGTGTTGACCTGGGCACGAACCTCCGTAGAACTAGGGAACTGCCCGCCTCTCCCCTCCGCCCGGGAGAAGAGGGGTGGAGAGGCGGCCAGGAGGGGACCCGGGAAGGGGGCGGCTCTTCGTCCGGGCTGGGCGTGGGCTGGGCGAGGTCCCGGGCCCTGAGGTGCCAACAATGGCCTGCAGTGGGAGGAGGCGGGCAGGAATGCGGCCGGGGCGGGGCGGGGCGGCTCTGCGCCGCGGCCTCTTACCTGTCCAGGTAGCTCGCATTTCGAGGCGAGCTGCGGAGCCCGCAGCACCTGTCGCGCGGCGCGCGGGCGGGGAGGCCGGCGCGGGGCATGGCCCGGTAGAGTCCCCGGGGGGCCGGTGCGGCGATCGGGCCCGGCCAGGGCAGGGCGCGGGGGAGGTCCTCCCGGGGCCCGCGCGGCCGGCGGCAGCATGAAGAAGAACCAGACAGTGCAGGGCACCTTCAGCAAACTCTTCGGCAAGAAGCACAACGCCCCCGCCACCTCCCTCTACGCCACCAATCCCCCCTGGATCTTCACCCAAGAGGCCCCGGAGGAGAGGACCAGGCGCTTGGGTAAGTGCGCCCGGGAGCGGGGAGGGCGCTGGGCGCTGGGCGCTGGGCGGGGGGCGGGGCGCGCCCACCCCGGGAGGCGCTGGGGGCGCTGTCTCGCCGCCGGGTCTCCGGGCGTTCCGCGCGGCTGGCAGGGCGGGAGAGGAAGGAACACGTTGGAGCCTGCGAACTGGCCGGGAGGGAGCTGGTGGCAGGGGAGGCGGCGCCGCAGCGGGGTGTCTCTGGGAAAGGGCCGTGGGGGGACAGAGGGGCGCGGAAGGAGGAGACCGTTCCCACAGCGCGGTCCGAGGCCTTTGCCACCACCGCGTCGGATCCTGGTCCCTCTTCCGAGGTGTTTCTTTTCCCAACTCGGCGGAAGTTATGTTTGCGTTATTGTTGCCAGAAAGACTTGCTGGGGTTTGCAGTGGCCCCCTCTTCCCCGGCAGTACTGTTGAGTTCCTCCAGCTGAGGGCTAGGGGGTGGCGCCTTCAACCCCCACCCTTTCTGCTTCCTCTGTTCTCTCCAGTTCCCCATGGGGCCTCTCCTGACCCGGAGAGAGGGGGTTGCTCTCTGGGTGCTCACACACTCGGCTCTGCACAGGGGAGGCCCAGGAAAAATCAACAGGAGCCACGGCAAGCAGGATACCAGCCTGTGCAAGCCGCCAAGTCACGTATTAGGGTCTCAGGCTCTTGCCAAGTCAACCTGGGGCCTGGGCTTTCTACTGGCTCAGACAGAGGAGCAGGAGATGGGACGGTGGAGGCCAAGGAAGCCCCTCCTTACTGCCAGCTGCTGCTGGCCCCTGGTGCAGGATGCTGGATCTCTGCAGGCACCTGGAACACCATGCTCGCCTGGTCCTGGGGCTCTGGCCATAGGTCACCTCATCGTGGCATCTTTCTGCTGCAAGTTATACCCTCTGTCACTTAGGGAAAACCAGGGGGTGGGAACAGGAATTCACTTCTTGTGTATGATCCAAGGCTCTGGGCCCAAGGAGGGTCCCTCATCCTTGCTCTAGCTTACCTGCCTTCCTTGTGACCCCATTACCTTCACTGACCTTTATGGCCACTGTGCCGGACCCACAAAGGATGTTATAGCCTCAACCCCCACTGTCAGATTCAGTTCAGCACCCAGGTTGTCATAGTTGGGACACAGGCACCTGGACAGGAGCAGGGCACACAAGATGTCGCCTCCCCCCTGCCCAGGGAGCTCAGGCGGGCGAGTGAGCAGAGCTAACTGGATGCCATTTAGCCAGTTCCGAGCATTTGCTGTAAACGATTAAGTTCGTAAGGAGCAGAGGAGAGAGATGACCTCTGGCTGGAGCTGGCATTTGAGCTGAGAGGAAAGGGCATCCAGCATTTTGCAGAACCAACAGCAGGAGCAGAGGCCGGGAGGGGCAGGGCAGTCTGGAGGCATGGGTTAGGAACTTGCAAATACACGTGTGCTGCCAAGTACAACTGTGAGGCCTGAATGCCTCTCCTGGCCTGTGTAGCAAACGTTTATTGACCCCTTCTTAGGTGCAAGGTACCATTCTAAAGTCCTTGTGTTGCTAACTCTTTGAATCCTCACCTAGCCTCCGGTGCAGGGACTATTATTCCTGTTTGACAGATGACAGAGGCACAGGGAGGTTAAGTAACAGATGAGATCACACAGCTTTAAATGGCCAAGCCAGCATTTTCTTAAGTTTACAATTCAGTGATTTTTGGTAGACTTATAGAGTTGTGCAACCATCGCCACATTTCCATTACTGCAAAATTTCCCTCATGAGGTGGAGCTAGTATTTGCACCCAAGCAGTCAGGCACCCAAGACCACACTCTTAGCCAGCTTGCTGAACTGACTGTGGAAGGAATTCAAGAGTGAATTTGACTTCAGGAGCATCCACCTGAGAACACCTCCTCCCCACCCCCACCCCCACCCCCATACACACACATTCCTTCTCCAATGGGACATCTCAGAAATGCCTTAGACACGTCTCTGTCTCTGCATTTTTGCCTGCACTGAGCAGGCTGCTGGTGGGGACAGGTCTCTCTGGTGAAAGAAGTGGAGGCATGGTGCCCTGTCATGTCTAGCCAGCTGCTGCCTTCGCCAACCTGGACAGGGCTAGAGCCCAGGGGACAGCTCCTCCCATTCCCCAGGGCGGGGCTGGGCCTCCAGGTGACTCAGCCTGGTTGCACCCTGTGCATGGAGGGGTGGAAAACGATATGCACTCAGCAGGTTGGCTCCCCACTGCTTCCGGGGTGTTCCCTAGGGTGTGGCAGAGGTCCTCCTCTCTGCTGAACAGGACATGTGTGTGGAGTTGGGGACAGGAGAGACGAGAGTTGGGGATTTTGTGATATGATGGAGATGCCATACTTGCCTTGGATCCTGCCTCTGTCAATAATGTGGGGACCAGCCACTCTCTGGGCCTCAATTTTTTCTTCTGTTAAATGAGTATGGTGTCCAGACTACCTACAAAATAACTGCTTGACCTCTGTATATGGCAGTGCTTTGAAGAGCACTAAAAAGAAAAGCCTGAAAGCAAGGATTGGCAAATTATGGCTCTGGCTCATATCTGGCCCATGGCCTGTTTTTGTCAATAAAGTTTTATTAGAACACAGCCAGGTACACCCATCATTTACATGTCGTTTATGGCTGCTTTCACACTGCAGTGGCAGAGCTGAGTAGCAATCGCAATCTTCGTTAAGCCTCCTGCCTTCCCCCAGCCCACACAAGGGTCTTAAAAGGCTCCACGGTTGTTTTTTTAAATGCAGCAGAGACTGGATGGTCCACAAAGCCAAAAATATTTACTAGTTGGCCCTTTACAGAAAAAATTTGCCTGTGTCAACACCTGCATGATTTATTATTATCAGGTCATTCCCAAGTCTGAGCACTTCCTGCCCTTGCCTCCTTCGGTTCTTCTTCCTAACATTGTTGTAGACTACAGGACACTGAGACGTGAAGAGGCTATCTTGAGGTCTCAAAGGGGTTGCGATGAGAGTTCCATATGGTCCTTGAGTCTGTGACATTCTCTGAGATGCTGGTGGTATCCAGCCCTTGGAGAACAGCCGGAAGGAAGGAGGGGGAGAAAAGTCAATGTAGGGATGTGTAAGGGAATTAAGGAGTAACCTTGCTCGGTGGCTCCAGCCATGTAAAACTGTTTGCACAAGAATAGGCTGGGCGCAGTGAGTAAAATGCAAACAGCCATGTGACGGTGGTGCCGGGTAGATTTTTCTTTGAAGAATTTCCCCAGCATTTATTCCAGTGACTATTAGGAGGACTTGCCTTAGTGCAATCGCAATCTTCGTTAAGCCTCCTGCCTTCCCCCAGCCCACACAAGGGTCTTAAAAGGCTCCACGATTGTTTTTTTAAATGCATGAGAAAGCAGAGATGTGGATCTTTGCAAATCCAGCGATAAAGGGCGGGCTGCCGAGACGAGGCTGCCAGTCGCTCTGGACTCCTCCCTTGCCTTTTGGATTCGTTGAGCCTGCTTCTTTATCTACAGACACCCACTCCACCGCAGCAATGGTACACGCTGCTTGCTGGGGGACTCTCTTTCTTGCCTTGTTCCTCCAAATGTAAATCACCTTTGTCACAACCCCCAGGACGCTGATTTAAAATGCAGATTCCTGGGGTCCCACTTCAGGCACAGGAAGTCAGAATCTTGGGGCCAGGGCCCAGGGTCCATATTTTTCACCTGCTCCCAGGGGAAGGAAGGAATCGAGGAAGATTTGAGAATCCTGGGCTTTCCTTCCCCAGATGGAGCCAGGCCATTCTCTTCTCCTTTAGGACTTCCTGCAGGTTCTAAATAAATGTGTGGGGACTGTGGCCAGTTCCTTATCAAGAGAACCCCAATGCTCCCTAGGGTGGCTGTTGGTTCTGGTGTCCCTGCTTCTGGGGCCCCCGATCTCGTGTCTCAGGCCAGGCTAACAGGTAGGAAGCCATGAACCCCAGGAGCGGAACACATATTTCCAGCCAAGCTGGCACCAGCCTACCCAAGCTGGCCTGTGCTTTGCAGGGGTGTGAAGGAGACTTTTGTTTACTCCCGGCCCCTGGAGGTGTGCCGTGCTTTGCAGTTCAGTACACACACATCCACACCCTGGCTGCTGCCCCATTATATAAGCTCCTCTTGCCCCCGTAGTTCAACTCAGAAAGCCAGGCCCTCCCTTGACCTCTGCAGACCAGCTGCAGACTGCCCCTTTTCTTCCAGCCAATAAATTAATGACAATAATAATATCATCATCATCATTGTTATTATTATCAGTTGTCATTTATTGAACCAGGCACCAGGCTCAAAACCACATGTGTTTTCTCAGTTGAGGAAACAGACTCAGGCTCGGGCAGGTTAAGTGACTCAGAGTCCTTTCAGCTCAGGGCAGCTCCAACATTAAAGGGCCCCCATCCAGTCGCCTGTGACCCGGTTAAGATCTGATTCGGATGGAGTAGGTTTGCGATGGAGGGAGGCGCTGCGCCTCCTTCCCCGGGTCTGCAGACCACACTTGAGTAGCAGGTCCTGGCTGGGAGGCAGGGGGCCCTGTTTGCTTGCTCTTCCCCTTCTGCTCCCCACCCCTAAGGCTCCCCGCTCCCAGTCCCCCCTTCTGCTCTGTGGCTCCCAGCTGCCTTCCAGCCCAACCTCAGTGTCCCCTCTGCCCTTGGACAAAGGCCTTCCCCTGGTGCTCCGGTCAAGCCTGCCGGGGTTTGCTGGGACGGACTGGCCTTCTCAGGTTCCTGCCATGTGGACCTGGTAATTATCAGGAAGGGCCTCATTAAGGCCATTTGTGGGTTACATTCACATGGGCACCCCCCCACCCCCACCCCGCCGCCTGCTACTTCCCTGAAAGGCTGGGTCTCCCCTCGTGGCCAAGGATTGGATGCCCCACATTAGTGGGCTAAAGGTCTCTTTTGGGGTTCTGGGTTACTCGGGTCAAGGCAACACACGCCCCCAGCTAAAGCCCCTGGAATCAGATTAGGCCCGTGGCCAGTGCTCCTGGGGTCATTTGGGGGCTCCCAGCAATTTGGGGCCCCATACCATCACCCCAGCCCTCCACTCACC